AGCCTTCCCTTCTCTGGGCAAACATTTTCCATCTGTAATGCCAGAATACAGCTGCAAGAGGTGGGTGGCTCACTGAAGCTCTTATATTCTGTCTATGAGCATCTTGGATCTATACCTGACTTCACAACCACCCTTGAATTTCCACATCTGTCCTTCTAAAACTATTGCCTGATATATGCATTCTTACATGCTTAGGCATTTTAATTTCAACTATTAAGGTATTTGAATTGACTAACTCCAGGCAGCATCATGAACTATATTCTTCCATCTCAAGTAAACTTTACTGAAAGTGTTACCACCCAAAACAACTTCAGCCAGAGATACTGCTGGTGTGCACTCTACAATTCTCCTCCTTGCTATAAGGGCCTTTGAGAAGCAAAAGGGTTACTAGGTACTAGTTACGTTTGACTTTGCTCTCTGCCATTTCCCTTGTGACCCACATACTAACTTATTTTCCAGACATGTCAATACCTTTGCAGCATGCCTGTGTTTCCTCATCCCTGTTATCTCCTATCTTGAATCCAACATCTATTGCAAACACATACAGCAAAGTGAATCTAAATGCTTCGATCTGCTCTATGAAGTACTCCCTGGCACAAGAGGAAACTAAACATAATGTTGAAACTTCTGCTGTTATTTCTTTTATTCTGATTTGAACACGTATAACCTTCTCCTGTGTAATTCTGATGATTTTGTTCATCTCTCATTATAAGATTAGGAATTACTCCAGGATAAGGATATTTTAAAACTAACCTCTATTTCCGACCTACTCCAGAGTAGAATCTCAGTATATGTTAACTGAATGAATAAAAATAAATAAATAAATAAATTCTGGGGAAATAAGTCATATGGCCCAAATAAAAATGTGAATTAATATGAGGCCAGAAATAGTACTGGGAAATTAGAGACTGGAAGACATTTCTTTGAAAAAAAGCAGGCAAGCTAGTTGCCTATGGCTCATGCCTCTAATTCTCAGGAGTCTAAGACACAGAGGATTGTAGTTCAAAGTCAACCCAGGCAGAAAAGTCTGCCAGATTCTGTCTTCAATCAACTAGCAAAATACTGTACTAGAGGTGTGGCTCAAGTGTTAGAGTGCCAGCTGTGAGTAAAGAAAGCTCAGTGAGGTCTTCAAGTGGAATTCAATCTTCTGTATTTGTGCATGCACATCCCCCCGCCCCCCCAGACACCCACACACTCAACAACACAGACAAAGCAGGGGAATACTTCAACAGTCTATTTTCACAAGTTCAGACATTTTTCAGATTTGTTATGCTCCCTGGAACCTCTCTGGTACAAATGTTATGCGTATATATTATTTTCCCCCACATCCATGAGTTAAAGCAACCTTACAAAGGTGATTCATAGGCCAACTGGGGAAACACAGGACATATGCTTGACTAATGAGAAATCATAGACCTCCTAGCCTACTTTAGGTAATCAAGTGATTCACCAGGTTTTGAAATTGAAATTTGCTTTGTTCAAAACTGGAAACATCAAAGTTGAGCATTAGTAGTCTACATTTCTAGGATTTTTCAAGTACATTTTAATTACAACACAACATAGTTTACTGCATGCATCACTTTCTTGGCACATATTTTTAATATTTAGTGTGTGATTATTGTTCTCACAGCATATAATTATATTAACCAATAAACACTAACGCATCTAATTCAGTTCCACTAGAGTGAGGATAATTCAGAAGGGTGAGCTGTATCTACTAATTAACTCTTGCTTTCCTAAACTAGGATAATTTAAAGGAATAGAATGGATCATCCTTTTTATTCTGACTAAAACAAGCACATTAGAAATAGATTTAACTATAATGATGAATTTATTTTACCCCAGGGTGATCATAATTATTTTTTAAACCTTTGGAATGTTTTCTCTTTTGTAGTAATGGAACATTGTCATTCATATGACAAATGTCCATGGTAAAACATTAGAAAAGTAAATCAGATTGGCATCCCTAATCTGGTTTCAGCACTGACACAAAGAAAACATCTGAGGGGCTGGGAAGGTGGCTCAGTAGTAGAGCGCTTGCTTTGCATGCATGAGGCCCTAGGTTCGATTCCCCAGCACAACCTAAGCAAAAAGAAAAAAGCCGGAAGTGGCGCTGTGGCTCAAGTGGTAGAGCTCTAGCCTTGAGTAGAAGAGCTGAGGGACAGCACCCAGGCCCAGAGTTCAGGCCCCACAACCAGACTCCCCCCCCCCCCAAAAAGAGAAAAAAAGGTAAACATCTAAATTCAAAGTCTAATCAAGCTGACATAACAGTCTCATGGTCAAAGACAAGCCTTAAGATTCCAGTCCATGAAAAAAAAAAAAAAAGCACACATTTTACTTAAAGGTTGTGATATCTCTAGGCTGCTCAAATGTGAATATATGTGGAAGTGCATCATAGCAGTACATCTTACTGCTATGCAAGTACCAGTGATGATGAGTCCACGAACACAGGAAGAACACTCAAGCAATAACGTTGATGTTGAATAAACCCATTAAAATATAGTCAGTTAGGAGAGGCATGTGCAGACATAGCCTTAAAAAATGAAGGCTACATTAAGTGAAAACCTTACAGCATAATCTTCTCCCATATATATATTAGGTAGTAGGCCTGTATGAAAGAAAAATCAATAAATAAAATAGGAAAAGTCCGGGTTTAGTGAAACACACATGTAATCTTAGCAGGATTGTGACTATACAGCAAGTCCTATGTCTTAATATGTGTCTTAGTCCCAGGGCAGTCAGTGGCCTTGCTGTCCTAACAAATTAACCTAAAGGTGTTTGATTGGAAGGAATTATAAAACTGACAGACATCAGATAGTGAAGTAAGAATTCTACTTGAAGAGTAGTTCTTGAACTTGAGCAAATCCTGCATCTTTGAAAAATAGGCTTTGTTTCTTAAGTTTCTATGCAGAATGAATTTGAACTTTCCTCTCCTTGAGAATGTTCAAAAACTCTCCATTATCTACAAAGGAGAGACTGTCATCCAAATTTGTCCACATTTGTTAGTAGGAAACCATCCATTCCCATAGTCACTCTAGGCCTTGATCATTTTCCTTTGTGTCTTCAGATGCTTCTAGTTCTCTTGTAGTTCTCCGAACCATCCACTGTTCTACCCAAGTCCCAAGCTTTTCCCGAATCTCTATTATTTTTATTTTTTTGTCGGACATGGGGCTTGAATTTTGGGCCTGGGTGCTTTCCCTCAGCAATTCAGCTCAAGGCTAGCACTCTACCACTTGAGCCACAGCACCACTTCTGGTTTTCTGGTGGTTAATTGGAGATAAGAGTCTCATAGACTTTCCTGCCCAGCTGGCTTTGAACTGAGTTCCTCAGATCTCAGCCTTCTGAGTAGCTAGAATTACAGAAGTGAGCCACTGGCACCTGGTGCCACTCCCCATTTTTTTAACAACTCCATCCACCCTTCTTATTGCGTTTATAAGTCTTCTCACAAGAATTTTTCGATTGACAATGAAAAAAAAAGAATTTTTCGATTCTCCGACTGTGAAGAATATATTATACATATTCCTTATGCTTTGGCCCAATCAGCCATAGATTAGATTTTACACCCTGGATGATATTGGAAGACGATCCCTGAGTCCTGTAAGTATCTTGTCAGTCATCTTTCAGTTCTCTGCAAAAACCCTATGCCTGTTACATATTAGCAACTCAGAGCATTTGTACTGGAACAAAGTACATTTTTACTGTTTAACCAAGAGCAGAAAGATAGCTAAGGGAGAACTAATCACTAGTACTTTTTACAAGGTACACAGCAAAGCAGCCTATCCCATATATGTATAGTACAGGAAACAAAGGTATGTCTAAACCAGAAAATACTACAACCTATGTACAGCTTAGTAGTGGAGTGGAATGACTGAGAACAGAGAAGCAACACTACTATTTAATTTATAAAAGGCACCACTGTTAATAAAGTAGCAGCTGCTCAAAAACTTGAGTAGTATTCAGAGCAACAAGTGCAATGTCACCTAGTCAAGCAGACATCACTTAAAACAATGATGAAAGTACTTGTCCAATTATTTGCATCTAAAGCTCTGATGGCTGTCTCCTAAGGATGCAGAAACTGAAACAGATTTGCCAGAAAGATAAGGGATAATGACTTGTAGTGGGCTATCGGCTACTGACATGCTATTTGCTAAGCTCCCAAGTAAACCAAAACAGTGAGAAGACAACTGTTAAACTTGTACCATTTGCACTTAGAAAGAAACCAGAATAATTGCTGTCACTTAATTCTGTTGAATTTGGGAAGAAATTGCCACATTTGAACTTCTGGTGCAAGGGTAAATGATTCACAGTGTTCATAGAAAAACAAACTAACACTAAATGTAGTCATTCTAATCAATCTCAGAAAAGGAAATAGCTTTAAAGAAAAAAATACATCACTAAGTACCTTTTAAAATTACGCATAGCAACATTGATCAAGATATATTTTACTCATAAATTGATGTGTTGAATTGAAACCCCTTTGTACAGCTACTCAAAGATGATAAAAATTAAACAGATATATACAAATATATACATAAATGACATCAACAAAATGAAAACCACTTAATACACAACACAAAAGATATAATTATGCTAAGTCATATTTGTGGGGTGCATATTATATAACTAAATATCCATACAGACCAAGACAGAGAGAAGGGCAATGAAAAAAGAACTGTTTTTAATACCAGAGTGTGTGTGTGTGTGTGTGTGTGTGTGTGTGTGTGTATGTGTGTGTGTGTGTGTGTGTGTGTGTGTGTGTTTGTATACATAACAATATTATACATTAAGGAAAATACTGATAAAAATTGATATCAGAAGTTTTTACCAGTTAAATAGAGCATACTGGCTGAAACTAAGGAAAAAGAGTTTAGACCACTGACTCTAAGATCAAGATCAAGGAGTGAAAGAGCTCTGAGAAGCAGCTTGATCATTCCAGTGGAGTGCAGCATCTGTTGTGGCCATTTGTGGCTGACCACCTGGACAGAAAGTGTAGCACTAACCTGTTGGGGGCGAGGTTTATACGGGGAGCTGCATTCCAGGTCAGCTAAGATACTGGTCAAGGAGTCAATCTCAGCATCCAAGCTAGAGCGTCTCTCCTCCAGGGTCTTGCCTCCTGGATTTCCCTGCAAAAACAATACAGATTAGACTAAATTTCCAGGGAGGTGGGGGTAGGGGAGTGGGTAATGCAAACCTGCAATCCTAGCTACTCAGAAGGGAAGATCTTAGGCTAACAGTTGGAGGCTAGCCAAGGTAAAAAAAAAAAAAAAAAGTCTCAGGGACTTTAACCAATTAACCACCAAAAAGCCCAAAATGGCCCAAAGTGGATTCATGGCTCAAGAGGTAGAGCACCAGACTTGAGTTAAAAAGCTAAGAGGCAGTAACCAGGCCTTGATTACATGTTCAGTACTAGCATGCATCCACAAGTGTGCATGCATGGACATACATACACACATACATACACACACACACACATTAAAAACAATTTCCACTAATAGCATTGAAAGTTCCACTTTATCATGTAATAGTGTGGTCTATTCCATGATTTCCTGGAGATCATTTAAGTTTTAATTAAAACTCAATCGTTTGACAGATAAAAAATATGAAGTGCTTTTTCTTAGGTCATATATTAATTTAAGCAGTTGATGAACTTACAATAAAAGAAATAAATGTCCTCATTCCTGCACTTAGCCTGATGGAAAGAACTGGGGAAGATATCACAGGCTCTTTGCATTTAGAAGCCACTGCATGAAGTGATGATATTTTATTTGAGCAAGAACAATCAAGAAAGGGAAATTAGGATTGTAGAATAAAAATAAATTGGCATTTGAAGTCGTGAAAGTCTGAAAATCTGAAGTCAATGGTATGTACATGCCAGAGACAAATGTCATGCCCAAGCAATGCTGTAAACTATCAACCAAAAAGAGACCAGTCAGGGCTCTGGCCATGGGCTACTGAGGAAACAGGCACAGTAAATGCTGATGATAAAGTTAGGGACCTTTGGATTTCATATTTTAATAGCCTCTATTTTCTAAACTTGGAATCAATAATATTGCCATTGGGCATTTCTAGGAATTGTTAGAAGGTTTGGGAAAAACAAGCCTAAAGTCCAAATAGGGATACATATAAAATGAGGTAACTCGATGATTTGAAATCAGGGTAAGGTAAAAATAATCCCTACACTGATGATGCCATAATTAATTATCTATGTGCTATTCAAAAGTCTCTTAAGACCCCAACGAGAAACCAAGTCCCAACTGGAATGAAATAATGGATAATTACTATACTATAATCAAATCCACTGAATTTTTCTCAGGAAGACAGCTATAGAATAGTGTCTAGTGTCTGCAAACATTTATCTTACTCTAAGAAGATAAAGTACCAGTAGTAATAACAAAAATATCATTAGTATATTATTTCCCATAAGCTAGTATTAAGTCTCACAAACTCTGAAGTAAATTTGTCCTTGGTGTGAATATGGGGCATCAGGCATGATGCATTCATGAGCATTGCCTGTAGAGATCACCAGTTCTCTTTTTTCCAAGTATTTTACTTACTCAGCCACCTTCTTGGACTCTTGAAACTTACTTAAATCTCTGGGTTAAAGCATCTTAATGGAATCTGGCACATTGGTTAATCTCTTGTGAAATCAGTCAGTGTGAGATAATACTTCCTGGACATTACCTACGTTTGATACATTGATAACATCAGACATCATCGCTGAAATTGAGGACCAGTCCACTTGGAGCCAAATCTAGATTGCTATTTGGCCTCTCTAGGCAATTTGGTATCCTTGTTTGAAAGCTTTTTTAAAAAACATGGATACTTTTATCACCTTAAGTAAAGCAGCTTTCACCTGATTTTCTCACTCTAGATATATTGTTTTGGACCCTCTCTGCCATGCTATGCCCTCATCCTGTTGTATCTACCATCCCAATGATGTCCATTACCACCTAAGTATTATATTGTATGAGAATCTGTCTGAGTATGTCTGGTCTCCACCCTCGGATAACATAAATTTTGTGAGAGCAAAGACCTTGTCTGTTCTGCTCCTCATGACTTTCCCAGAAGCTTGCACAAGGCCTGATCTAAATAAGGACCTGATACTCTCAGGCCTTCCCTAGGCGTGTGTGTGTGTGTGTGTGTGTGTGTGTGTGTGTGTGTGTCAATAAAATAACACAGAATGGCTTTGCCACAGACTCAGACAGCAATCTTTTTCTTATCAACATCCTCTGAGTAAAAGAAACTCAAGGTACAACTAGAATAAGTGAGTGCTTTCATAAATGGTTTTAACATGGAAGCCCAAAGGGTTCCCTACGAATGTCCACACATGTATATATATATATATATATATATATATATGTATATATATATATATATATTAGGTTAGGTAGCACAAACTTCAGGACTGTGTTGGTGAAACTGAAGTGTTTTCCTCAATTTCCTTGCATCAGCCTAAAATGGAACACTATTTGTATTTCTCTGACTCCAAGTTTCCAGTGTGACTAAACTGTTAGGCTGTGGGTCTCTGTCATACTATTGAATGTTAGGTGGTAATCATTCCATAAGAGGAGATTTCACTTCCATCCCAAAGGGCACAAATACAATAAATTGAAGCTAGAAGGGGAAAGTTCCTTGCAACATTTAAAATGTATGTGAATACTTTGAGAAATGAGACTTGGCCCCATGTGAAAAAGCATGACACTATTGTTGTGGAAGGCAACTGAGAATAATGTGAACTTGATTTTCTTGTGTGTAGACATAAAATATTACCATCAATATGAATTTAATACTCATGGACAGCACAGTATTTCTGGCAATGATGGTGAAATGAAAACTCACTAAATTCTTCCCTGGGCCATAGTTTCTTCATCTGTAAAATGAAGAGAACATCATCTCCCCTACACCTACACTAGAGTGCTGTTCCAAGATTCAGATAAGAAAATGGATGGGAAAATACTTTGTAAATCGTAAAGGGTTATAATTATGGTGATTTTCATAAATAGCATTAATTATACCAACCAGTAACTATAAATTAATAGGAATAATATAGCTATTGTTAATTATTCTTCTCCTTGAGGTAAGCATCATTCATTAAGTGTTCCCTGAGGGTATCGGCAAAGAGAGGGTATATAATCAGGTCTGCAACATCAGTACTTTACTATAGCTGAAAGTACACCAACTGCCCATGCCCTAAGTCACTGAGATAGCTAACCGCAGAGACGCCAAAGTCACAGAATTACCCTGAGCTATACAATGAAACAAGTAATTATGATGCAAAAACAGCCCAAGCTTGTAAGATTTCACCTGGTTCCCAGCCTCCTTATTCCCTTTCCCTCTAAATTGGGATGCTTCTACCCTATCAGTTATTTAGATTAGAATGATGCAATTTAAACACAGTCTCACCTAATGATAGAGGATTTTCCACAAAAACCCCCCACTACCTTACCTGACCTGATAATTTGCTTCTACATTTTAATCACCATTATGAATAAGAATAGGATGCTTTCTCGTTTCTCTTTTCTTTTTGAAATAGCTGAAATCCTTCCCAAATTCCTACTACATACCCCCCATGCCCTCTCAGTGCCTTTGCATTTATGAACTATCATCCTCTAGCCAGCCAAGGGATTCCTACAGATTTACCAAAATCACTATCACTGTGTATGAGGGTTAAATGACACACAGGAAGCCAAATAACAATTCAGAATAGTCTTCTGCCTCTTTGTCTAATGTTTGTTCCAGATAGCACATGAACTCTAATAAAGTAGTCATTGTGGTAATAACAATTCCTATACTCTTCAGCCCTAACTACAAAGATTCCATTATCTAAGTGAGGACTGAATCAAAAACAACACCTAGGACAAATCTTGTATGCAGGTTATTTATTTTGGGAAATCAATGCCAAGAAGTAGCACTCAGAGAGAATAGAACAAGTTAGGTAGAAGAGAAAAAGAAGTCAATCCAAAGGTTCTACTCTAAGCACATCAGCAATGTGGGCAACTAAGGCTCAACTACCTTGGAGTCCCCTGAAAAATCCTCTAAAACATTCCTCAGATTTTCTTACTTAAGAGATAGAAAAGAATGTATTTAATCTTTGACTAGTTTCCTACTGCCTTAAACTTGCCCATGTTTGATCCTAAAAGTAGAATGGTGGCAAAGAAAGCTCAGGACAGAAAGTGAATGCAATGCATTTCAGCTGAAAATAGGTCATGTGTGTGAAGAGATGGCTGCTGTAGCAATGGCTGACACATAAAAATAAAAGAAGAGGAGAGCTCAGATGCAAAAGTTGCTTAATGCATTACTGGTTCATATCTAAAATCCATAGCTACTTGCCCTTACTCCCTGAGTCTCCCAGCTCAGAACTGATAAGTAGTCATTTGCAAGGTTTATGGATGAGCTTTGTTTATAGTATTTTCTCTTTTTTGTCCTACTGTACTGTAGAGTGAGCACTTAATGGTGTGTAAACAAAGCAACAGAAATGTAAACTATGACTTACTATAGAAATACCTTTTATTTTCCTTCTCTCAACATTGGTACTGACATGTCTGTAGTAACATCAAAGCCTATGAGAACAGATTTGAAATTAGTTGCTCTTCTGCCATTCAAAAAAAAAAAAAAAGAAACGATGTGGTCAAGGTGAGAAGAAAGATGTGGTCAAGGAAAGAGGAAGGGTCTGACAAAGAGCAGCTGAGATGTATACACAGTAAGGAACTCAGGCAGTAGAGAGTGAATGATGGTCAGCAGCCCCACTCCTTGTAGTGAGATGTAAGTCTATGGAACATCACAGAAACAAGATTTTTAAGTCTATGCTTAACTGCCTAAAGGCTACATGAGATGTGGTGGAATAAGATACTTGAAACTATTTTCTGTGATTTTTGATGTTCCACTCTGCTAGACAGGGTGTGAAAGTGATTTTAAAAAATAGCTGGAAGAACATCTGAGTCCCTATATTCTTCTCACTCAGTGCAAGATTCAATGTTCTGTTTGCTTTCTCCACTTTCCAGTACACTAGGGACATGTCTAGGAAGGATGAATGCTGAGGCCATGGACTAGAGGGCAAGACAGTGAACATGTGAATCTGCTAGGCCAAGAGGCTGAAAATTCCCTGCAGCCAGCAGCAGATCCC